TTGGCTTATCAGAATCTGTAGTACAATACTTTGGAGGCTTTTTTATTGTACGTCCTCGTCGATTACATTTTGAACCTCTATTGTCCGACATTTTTTATAACACTGTGGATCAGTACATATATGTATATATTTATGGTTCTTTTTTTATCTTGTAGTGGAAAAACATTGAATAGTTATGAGGTACAAAAAATAAATTATATTGGAGGATTTATACATTGACAGATTATAAATTTAAAATTTGTTATGCGAATATGATCAAACATTTACGTTATATATAAATTGGCTTTACAATATGAAACTAATTAATATAATGTAAGAGAGTAAAAACAATATATTCACCATTATTTTTTTCTGATTTTTTTGTTGAAGAGAATGATCCTGTCCAACTTGGCATACTATAGCACTTCGCAGTTACATAATTTGTGCTGATTAATTGTAAGCCTTTTGATAACTCTTTGCATTTATAAACTCCGACAGTTGAAGACTGAATTGGCAATTCATAAAAATTTGTAACATTTTGAAAACTTTGTACTACAAAGAAAACATTTCTATTTTGAGTCAAAATATTTCTAATTCTGCAAATAGAGTTATCCCGAATCTTGCAAAAGCTATTGCAATCATCTAATGCAAAATTAAATTCATTTGACTGATAATTTTTGTATTGTATGACATTTGTATTTTCCATATATTCAGGAATGGGACCATTTGAGTGTTTTGCTGAAAGGCGATGATTCTCAAGATTACGTTCAGGTACATGTTGTATATAATTTTTTTCTCGTAATCGATTTGCGAATTGCTCAAGTGGACGTGGATGATTTCTTATATTTTTTTTAAAAAACGGCATATTATTTTCATAAACGAATGCTGAACAATTTTCTAGATGTCCTAATTCCTTTACGTCATCAACTAAATGTTGTAATCCATGAACATTGTAACTTACAAAGGTCGCTGTATAAAGATGTTCCGCATATTTAACAAATCTTTGTAGGCATTTTTCAGCCGTTTTTAATTACCTTTTCGATTTCGAACATTTAATTGATGTGACTATTCTCATGGCTACATTAAGTAATAACAAATGTAAGTAAAATTCGTCAGATAGAATTCCGAACGAAATAATTGGTGCTGCATATAAAAGGAAATGTCTTAACTCAGTTGCTTTAAATTTAGAGAATTTTGCGAGAGATCTAGGGCGACGAGCAAATTCGTTTGGACAAAACTTGTTTAACTCTTCATATCGTGAAGACATTTCATTAAGCGCTGAGCTAGGTAGTTTCGCTGCATATCCAAATTTGCCATCATACCATGCACTTAATAGCCTCGAAGCAACACCAGCGTATACCAGATGCATAATTTCAAAAGGCACCCTTGTGACAATCGGTATTCCAAGATCCTGTAATGGACTTTTTCCTTTTTGATGGTCCTCATCCAAACAAGATATATATTGTTCATTTGTTTGTTTTTCGTGATTGATGCCCAAGTAAACCATTCGATTCTCATGTCGGAAACCATTAACTTTGCATTTAGAGCACGGATTACCGGAATTGTGTCCATAATGATTTAAAACTAAAGCTCTCGCCGGAGCGTCTGCTACAAAATTTTTAAACACTATAGGAATACGACGATTATGTATTAGTATTCCTCCTAGTCTATTAGCTGATTTCACCTCATCAACAAGATTTTCAAAAAATTTATGTACATCGCAAGGTTTCTCAAGTCCTTTATACACACCTATAATCACCGGCTTGAAATAAGGAATATTAATGACCCTATATTGTAAAGGCCAATATTGCATAGGATTGTTTCTACTCAATGATAAACCGTCAGTGCTCAGTTCTATTTCTAGAACAGGCGGAATTTCATCTGCATCGTAAAACGAAAGGTGCTTTTCTAACAGTTTTACAAAACCAATATGCCAATATACACCTGAGCCAATTGGTACAAAGTTAATGCGATCACGACTTGTTTGTAAAAAACTTCTGCTATCTTTTGGCAAATTTTGAAAACATTTATGCATACGAAGTACTCTTAAAATTGCTGTAGTCTGAACATGATTTATATTCATGTCCAGGCAGCATTGTCGTAAACAGTTTTGAAAACAATCTATTTCGACATTTTGGTGTTGCGAACAAAGTTGCGAATCTTCGTGTACTATTTCTTCTACTACATCATCATGAGCACTTGGCGTTTGTGATGGAAAGTCCAAAGACGTTTCTTCAGTTTCACTACTTCTCAAATTCTGTTCACATGAATAAGTTAAGGAATTATTACTTCTATTTTGATCTTTTAAGTGTGTTTTACCCGCAGAAAGATGGAATGCTCTACGAAGGCGTAAACGATTATATTGTTGACGACTTGATAAATTCTTAAAAACTTTGCGAGTCGTCCAATTCATGTTTCCTTTGATTTCAATTGAGACTTACTTGCCCATTCAATTTCACTCAAGTGCAGTACTGAAATAAAAAAGAAATTAAGACTAAGTGAAAAACATAATAAAGCAAAGTCCAATCACTGACATAATAAAAATTCGAATAGGATAAGCTACTATTTTATTTAACAATGTATAAATAAGTTAATGTTTATCAATAAACGAAAAATCTTAACGTTAGAGTTCTTCAAAAGAAAAAAAAACATCTGATTACTAATGACTTAAGGGGGTGCCAAAGTGCACATTTTAAGCTGAATTTCAAATTGAATATCTACAGTTCATAAAATAGTGGTAAAACAAAACACGTATATTAATCATTTTTAATTATTTATAAATTTTCAAGAATCTGAAATTAAAAATTAGAAAATATCAATATTTCTTTTTAACTGAGGTACTGCAGGTAAGTGTTATTTGTGTAATCATTCATTATCTTCCTTAAATAAATATTTGATAGCAAAAATTTCTCAAAACAAAATCGCACTCCTAATATATTATGTGTGAGCGTATACGTCAAAATAAGCAAACCAACCAAGTTATTTTTGTTGGTTTTATCAATAATTTTTTCCATGCATATTTCAAAAATTTTTATTACTACCGTACATAATACTTTAATTCATATTTAAAAACATTTTCTTTACACTACGACTTTTAAATTACTTTTTAACAAGTTATTTATAGCCGGTTTTTCTCTATTTTTTAAAATTGAAATGCAAGAGTTATTAAAAAACTACTGATAAAAAATTTGCCAACACAGTTGTAAGTTACATATTGAAAATATTAATTAATAATTGTATAAAAATCTGTCGATGAAAGCTGCTTATTTATATGTGTAAGTGAATGATAAAAAAGAAATAATACCACACATTATATAGACTTATATTAATACTTGTCATCACTTCTGTAATAAAATTGTCTTATATATATATATATAGTACTAACGCACACAAGCTTAATGTTATTAATCGCAGTATTCATTATTAAAAAATAAAACTTCATAGATATATTTATACATATACCTACATATACTGAAAATCATTATAATTGCATATAAAAATCTGTCAATGTATATGCTGCTTTTGATATAATTTATATTTCTATGAAATATATAAGCTTATTTCTTTGTAATTGAATAATAAGAAATAATACTGTACACTATACCTTATACTAATACCAATCAATGAAGTATATAACAATACTGACATTCCAGCATGTATTATTGACAAGATATAACAACTAGGCCATTGTGATGGTTGTATCAAAAAGGATTATATAAAATGTTATAGGTTATGTGTCCAACATGCTATTTAATGAAGAGATATAATAATTACCAGTAGTTATATGATTTCCAACAAATTCTTGAATATGGCGAAGGAAATACTGGCACAATATACTGGTATAATAATTAAACAACACCGCACCGTTGTTACTTGTTACTTAGTTGTCCCGCCTATTCGATCCTTTACTCGGCCTGGCAGTTTTGGACTTCGTATCTGGAAATGTAACAAAATTTAATGACCAATTTGACCAGTTATTGGCCTAGTTTACACCGATCTCTTGATACGCTTATCAAATAGTAAACATCGCTCAACGATAGAATGCTGGAGGAAAGTCTAACGCGAATACCTCCAAATGTACATCTCCATGGAAATATTGCGACACTCGCGGGCATCATACCTATATGTAAATCGTACCTTGCGTAACTCCTCTCTCTCTCTCTCTCTCTCTCTCTCTCTCTCTCTCGTCTGTTACTTTCCGCGAGGACAGGTATACGACTACATAAATCGCGTCATGTTCCGAGGATCATCGTTCGCCGGATCTTCGCGCCCTTCCCGGCGATGTCACGATAACGCGATACCGAGATACCATTGCACGTCGTAATCACGTTACATATGGGCTGTATTCGGGGAGCGCGCTATTAGCGCTATTTGCTTATTCTATCCTTGTTTTACATCTGATGAGCGATAAAGACAGAATAATGCAATAGCGCTATAGCGCGCTCCTCGAATGCAGCCCAAGAAGGGAAGTCGGTCGTCGACTGCAATGATAAGCCGCGCGACTACAAACTATAGTATATTTTAACTGATCAATCAATAATCAAACTAAATTTACTAGTTATTTACTATTTAATACGCGTATTAAGTGATCGGTATAAACTATAGGCCATTGTGATGGTTGTATCAAAAAAGATTATATAAAATCTTATAGGTTATATATCCAACATGCTATTTAATGAAGAGATATAATAATTACCAACAGTTATGATTTCCAACAAATTCTTGAATATAGCGAAAGAAATGGCACAATATACTGGTATAATAATTAAACAACACTGCACTTATTTGTTACTGTGGTTGTCCCGCCGGTCCCGCCTATTCGATCCTTTACTCGGCCTGGCAGTAATGATACTGATAGACGAGCCACGAGCCGCGCCCGCGAGCCGCGAGCGGAACGAGCCCGCTTTTTTTCGCGCATGTGCGTCAAATGCGGCGCTCGCTATAGTATAATAGTTTAACCAATCACAGTCTATTGTTCTCCTTGCGGTCAAAGAATCCCTGGTAACACAATACAGTCTAAAATTGCGACAGAAGTGCATAATATCTCTGATTGAACGAGTACTTACTGCACTTTTGCAGCAGTCTGCTGTAAGAAGCTAAATAGTACAAAATTTCACACGCGGCCTGTGCGTCTATTGTAAATAAGGCCCGGTTTCACCAACGTGATTTAATCTAATCGGTCGATTAAACTCACTCTTCGTCTCTTTCCAACTGTTCCCCTTAGAAAGAAACGAAGAGTGAGTTTAATCGACTGATTAGATTAAATCACGTTGGTGAAACCGGGCCTAAGGCTAAGGCCGGTATTATATAGGCCGGTATTCATAATCAGATCTTATTTCAAGACCGTCTTAAGTAATATCTTAAGATGCTATAATACGGCTCTGTGATTGGTTAATGACGTCTTAAGATTGTACTTAAAATGGTCTTAAATATAAGAACCGACTATGAATACCGGCCATAGACCGCTGTTACACGGCGCCGTTAATCGGGTTTAATAACATAACATAAAATAGTAATTTTAATATTTTTAAAAAACAATGAATAATATTATGTTTCCTAAACGTATGTAATGTTTTATAACTGTTAAGAAAACGTATATAAAATCAACATGTGATACTTATTGGAATAACTGATATCATATATTTATACGAAATAATTTTTTTATTTGTAAATTATAATTTCACATGATAATTTATAACAAGAGGGTAGTCTATACTTAGCGTTACGAATACTTTATTAAAATTTGATTCATGAATCAAGACGAAGAAATCTGCGCTTCGTAACATCTTATTTATCAATCAAATATTTTTCAAAATTTGTAACGCCAAAATGGACCGCAGCCTACATCTCACAGCACGAAGCTATAACAGTTTCACAATCTCCACTTAACTTACAGTAATTATTTCTATAAATATTTATAACATAAATTAAAAATAACTTTAATAATATTCATGATAATTATTTACACTTTATTTTAAAATATTTATTATAATCTTTTAGATATTTTTATTTTCCGGACATTATAATATTTACAAAATATTCAACGTATATATTTTCAAAATATTTAATCTTTTTTATAAATATTTTATAAATATTTTATAAATATTTTGTGCTGTTTGGGAGTTTAACGCGCTCGGCTGTTTTTTTTTCTGACGGGCAGATGCTTACACGCTTTTTTCGCATTTCTG